TAAGTCAGCTCTGGAGAGAGAGTGACAGAGCGTCAGAGAGAGAGTCAGCGTGAGCAGTCCAGATAAGCTTACCCGGTACATACCGTTGGACTATAGACTTTGGATATTGTTTGGTACTAACCAACCTTCGTTCTATTAATCACTCTATTGTTAATTGCTTTTATGAATATACCAGTATTTTCCTCTACAACTGTGTTTGTCTTGATTCATACACCGACACGCGGGAAACTCACAACATCTCACACTTATATCTCCTGTGAAAAAGAGAAGTTTTTGTAGAAAACAGTTCTGTTAATAGAATAACTGTCTCTTGAAAGTTCAACTCACTGGTCTTTTTTGGAAGGATAAAATTCACGAACTTTGTATGCTCGGCAGTTCCCAATTTTCTTAGCAGAAACCTAACTTTTTTAGTGTCTGTCCATGTACTGCAATCCGATACAAAAATATCCTCATATCTTCTATAGAAATGAGCAAACGTGACCTTGTCTTTTGGATTATAATTGAAACTTTCAATAGCGTTCCACACAGCCGTCTGGTAGAATGCATTATGATTCTCGCTTGCATTTGTTAACTGTGTTGCCTCCAGAAGTTTCCTCTGTTCCTCCTGTGTTTTCATAAAGATTTGTTCGACGCGTTTCTGTTGTTCCAACAACTCCTTTTTAAATTTCTCCTCACTTTCAAGTTGTCGTTGAAGTTGTTGCTTTTGCAACGCGAGATTTTGTTCCGTTTTAAATTTGAACAATTGAAGAAGAGACTCTTCTAATTCTGCGTCCATGGTACGAATTCAATTTACGCACCATACAGTTTTCACTTGTATTAAACAAATCAGTTTTCCCAAGGCTTGCTTACTAAAATTAGTTTGCTCAACTAATACACAAACCAGAAATATGTATTTCTCGTAAAAAACAAAAAAAATCCGTTGCTTTTAAGGAGTGTCGACTAATGGAAAAGTCACAAAAATTTTTCCCAACCTTTTTGTGGTTTTGCACAAATATGACTCGAATTTTTAACAGTCTTTGTTAAGCACAAATGACTTACGCGAATATATATTTTTCATTCGACAAATCATTTAACTTTGAAGAGGAGAAAAAAAAATCTTACCGTGACAAAAAAAAAACTGGTTTCTTGTAAAAACAAAAAAACAGTGAACCTCTTTTTTTTTTCCAAACCCTTCGTGTCAGTATTTTCAACTATAATTGACAATATTATTCGCGTTCTCACGCTGTAGACTTTTGGTAGCAAATTTTTGGTTGTTTCTAATAATTTCTTTTTTTACGTCGCCAAATTGCTATTGTAGTAATTAATTTGCTATTAATCCTTGCGTATCCACATATCTGTTCGAAATGACGAAGGTGTTTTGCCGTAAAAATCTTGCGAATCCTTGTATTTCAATCACTTTAGGTGATTGTCTGCAGTGATATCGTTTCGATTCCAACGTCGCCAATCTGTTGTGTTGTGGCACAATAGTAAAAATAAGAAAATCAAGTCGAAGTTGGTTTAAAGAACAAGTGTATTTAACATCACAGATACAAAGGTAGGAAACGAGTACTACTCAGCTAGGCAGTTGTAGTACTGTCGCTGCTTACCCCGGGTAGGTATTACTGGCACTATATATAGTGAGAACCGGTGTAATTCCCTTGTGTTAGAGGCCGGTGCAACATTTACAACATTTAAAAAACTAATACAATTGTATTAAAAATAATGCAATATTTATCATTTACCAATTTATAAAGAAATAAATATAAAAACAATTTTTATTCATAAATTTATAAACATTTGCTAAATTATTAAAATTATTGAAAAACCACTATAAGAAAATCCTTGTTATTTACTTTTTTATAAAGCTCACACTTCGCCAATGTTTTGTCAACCCATCCAATAAACAAAATATAATAAATAAAAGTGTTTATTATTTTTGTAGTCAATTTACAAGAACAAAGAATAAATGTATAAATTCACTTTCATCATATATTTAAGTTTAATTCCAATTCTAATCACTTTTTAAAACAATAAACACTGCTGATGAGTGAAGGTAGTTAAAAAAGCACTGTCATTGGAAAAACTATTTTTCTTTACACGCTGTCTTATTGTGGGCAGGTTTTTCAAAGATTTTATGAATTTTAACCAAGAACACTGACAGCTTCATAAATGGACACTGAAAGTTTCCTTATAAGAAAATGGCTAACATTACCATTGTAAGCTCTCCTTCTGTATTCTGGATGGACACAAAAATCGGCCTTGTGTCACATCCTGCCTTGTGGGGAGGTGGGTAAATACCGGCTAACATTACCATTGTTGGTCTCTATTGATAATGCTCCAGATACAGCAATACAAGGGATTCAAATCAAAGAAACTAGGAGGAAACATGTTGTCAGTGATATGACAATAAAAAAATTCTTGGCCAACTACTCATTAGTCAGTTAGAGAACATGAGAAGGTACAGAGTCCTGTTGATATACATATGGCTATAAAACTCCAAACAGAAATGTATAGAAAATGTATAAATTCACTTTCATCATATGTTTAGGGTTTATTACAGTTCTAATCATTGATTTGTAAAACAATAAATCCTGACAATAAGTGAAGGTAGTTAAAATATTAGTGGTATCAAGGAAAAACCATCCTTTTGACACTCCACTTTTTTTCGCAAACACAGTGGTCCAAGTTTGCCTAATTTCCTCTGTATTTGCTTGAACATTCATTGCATCTTTTTAATTATATTCATTGATGTCAGCTGAAATTGAACATAGAATAAATTGCGCAAGTGCTAGTTGTTACGGTTTTTTGGGCATATAACCCACCTATAACTAGTGAGCGAGTCAGAATGACTTATTTCCCTTTATAGTCGACCAATGGAAGGTTGACCAATCAGAAGCCGCCCAACACTGTATTCGTCGTGTATAAAGGCGGCCATCTTGTTTCCTCCTACCGAAAGGACCAAAGGCGACCAGGAGAAGGATGAAGTACACTCTGCTGTGATATCCACTCTTGAACCCTAAAATGCGCTTTCCTACTGTCTCTGAAATATTCACTGCCAACCTCTAGATTCAATACTCAAGGACGACCGTCGTGGAAATGTCTAACACTAGTTACACCCAACACTGCAAAATGCTACAAAAGCCAAAATGTTAACCTGAAAATTGAAGTTATGAGGACCCTTGTTCTTCAAACTTCTTGTGGACTGGTGCTACAGAATCATAAACAAAAATTGTACCAAATAAGAGGAACCACATCATTTAAGGCCCTTCAACAACAACAGCAACAACTAAAATGGATAACACATGTAACACCAAAGAGAAAACAATGACATAATCAAGATGTTATCATTCCATACTATTAGCTTAGGTGAAGAGCCTCTCAATGCTAAAAAGAGTTGTGAGTTATCTCACTTGACTTTGGCAAAACTCCTAATAGGGGGAACTCTTAAAGCTTAAAAAAGGTGATCATATTCTCTCTTTTTAGATCTAGTCTTCAGTTGTAGTTACACGTAAATAGGAGTGCTGCTGACATGGCACATTTGCTTCTTTGGTCCTCTGTTGACTTTTGAATTCTCTTACACACACATATACACACACATGTCTATCACATACGCTTGTTTCACACACACACACATACACACACACACACACACATACACAGACAAGCACACTCTTATAACTAGATTTAATGTTTCTTCCTTTCATTACAATTACATACACATGTAATTCCTTTTGTTAATAAGATGCATTGTCATTTCCTTTCTATTCATTGTTATTTGTCACTCACAACAGAGTAATAACAGTTTGTGGATTTGAGAAAGCTATTTTCTGTACTGGCTGCTTGGTCAGTGAATGCCAAATGTTTCCTTATACAGAAACGGCTAATATTACCATTATCATATCTACTACTGTATCTTTCCAATAAGTTATATTACCAGCACAAGTCTTTAATGATTTATAATTCTTATACTTTATGAATTAAAATGAAATGAACAGTTAAATTCATAATATAAATCCCAAATGTCATCTCAGAAAAGCCTAAATACACTTTCTTCATTTTCTTGTTGTAGATTGTTTTCTGTTGGTTCCAATCTAGAATAGGAATGATTGTAAAACACTTTCCCTCCCCAATTTATACAGAAGCACACAAATACATGCTGAAATTTCTTCCTAGCCAATAAAATAGGTTGGTTCTTGGTTTCATCTAACTCAGTCCCATTCAATTTATTTATTAAACCATATATTTATTTATTTTCTTCTACCAGACTGAATATTTAAGAAAAATATGTGCTCTCCACTCAAATATTCAAGCCAGTAGACAAAAATAAATATACCTTTTAATAAATAAATGGAACACCTACTCAAAATGAGTATCCACTAAAAAATAATGTTTAAGAAATAAAAATCTGTCAGATTAATAAATAATAAATCAATCCCCTTTCATTACGAACAACTAATATATATATACTACAGTTCAAAAGTTTAAGGCAACCCATGGTAATTTTTTTAATTGACCCAAAAAGTAGTTGTTTTGTACTTTAAATAAGAGAAAATTATTATAAATGGTTAAAAAAAGTGAGACATGACTTTTATTAGAAATTTTATTATGACAAAAAGAAAAAAGCATTTTATGATTAAATTTTGCTCTCATCAAAATATCCTCCTTTAGCCCTTATTACTGCTGCACAAATTTTTGGTATTTATTGCAAAAGTTTCTCAAAGTATAAGTTTAATAATTGATTTCATTCTTTTTTTCAATGATTCTAAGAGCTCTTTTTCATTTTTTTTTATTCTTCTGTCAAGTTCATCCCATGTGAATTCTGGGGGTGGCTTCAAACTTTTGAACTATATATATATATATATATATATATATGTGTGTGTGTATAAATTGCTTACTCTCTAACAGGAAATTGTATGCCTGCTATATCGATCTCACAACAGCATATGAACACATTCTTTTTTCATCCAGTTTCCGAATCCATTGAATGCATCAAGGAACTGTATTAATGTATTTTCTTTCAGTCTGATATGATGTGGACAAAAATCAAAAATGAAAACTTTACAATCCTGAAAGCCCCAAAAGCAACAAATTTTGCTGCGTCGGTTAGCAGTTCTGAAGGAAGCAGTTCATTAACTTTTGCCAAATGCTTATTGGGTGGAGGAATAGGTAAGTAAAACATTTTAGGCTTTGAAAATTATCCAACATTATCTTTTCTTGTTGCATGTTTTGATCAGTGTGTTTTTTTCTCACTGATATTGGCCCCAAAAGCACAAGTGGGGGGAGAACTTCTAATGAGAATCAAATGCATTAAAGATTTGATCATGCTAACCATTGTGGCATGGCAAAGATTTCAAATTTGATTTCTTGTTGAATGTTTCAATCCCATTAGAAGTCGACTTCACTATTTGATGGAAAATTTTTCTATCATTATCAAGTAATTGTCACCCAATGTCATTTACAACCAAAGTGTCAATTGAAAGAATCATTAAATGTGTCTCCAAAATAAGTCTCAGCTTTTAACAATTTTTGTTAAAGCATTTTTGAAGATTTTTTATTTCATTGTCTTCATATTGTGTTCAAAATTGTGATCAAAATTCATTAAAGGAAAATGATAGAAAAGGTATAAAGTTTTAAAAACTGACAATTCAAAAATCATTTGATTCAATGTTTTTCTGAAGATATTTTCTTTCTTCCTTTTTCTTTTGTGCAACTTGAATAAAAACAAAATATTTTTTCTTTGTATTTTTTAGCAAAAACCCCTCCAAAGCCAATCATTTTTAAAAGATATCCCTATAAGATGGAATTGCAGTGGCCTTCTTTTGGTTGTAATGAACTGAATGGAAGACCAACTTTGTTTCAGGTTCTTTATGCCAAAGGAAATGATTGTAAAAATGGTAAGTTTTCAAAGACTTTGGCAAAGACTTTTGGGTTCACTTATTTTTTTTAAAGCATTTTGCATACAAATTGATTAGTGCAGTTGATATTGAAATATTTATTTCTAATTTACAAAAAAAAATGTTTCAAATTCATCAAATTTACATATAATATGATAGATATGCATGCATATTGCAAAGAAAAACAAACATTTAAGCTTGCAGTGAAACTTTATTCAGCGCAATTTGACTGTTGCCCATGAGTGAGGCTCAACCATTTCTTTTATAATTGAGTAGTACCAGAGAGAGACAACTATGATCGCCTTCAGCACACACACACACACACACACACACACACACACACACACACACACACACACACACACACACACTCCAGTTTGACCATTAAAATGACATCACTTTAAATGACTTGAAATTGTTTCCAGAATAAATGAGAAAACCAGAATTAACCAAAAACAATTGTGTAAACATATGCAAAGCACAATCCTTAAAAATGAATGTAGGCACATTCAAAATTACATAGAGGGAGAATATAGAATAAATATGAACTTTGGCAAATTTCAAAATAACATAAACAAATTCAGATTTTTGAAAATAAGTAAAATTTGATAGACAGAATTTATTGATATTATTCAACCAAACAGGTTTGAATATATATATATATATATATAAATATATATATATATATATATATATATATATATATATATACATATTTCTTATTAATATAAACATTATATATAATGGGTTCATGTGTTGGGGTAGACACACCTTGTTTTAAAGAGTGTAATTGAGGACTTCCACCCTGGGCAGTTAAATGTCTTAATACAGAAAATGTATCTTTCAGCATGAATCAAATCTGTGTCCCCCTTTATAATGGGGAAATCACCTTCCTTCTAGGGTGTGCTTTATACCACTCAGCCGCAGAAAACTTCACAGCAAAGCAAGGCTCAATTGACCTTTTTCCATAAATGCAAATCTTTCATTCGCATCTTTTAGCAGCCATGAAAATCTTCTAATTACAATTTCATACCCAAAACATGAACAAAATTATTTTGAAGAAATTAATGGATTTTATATAATGCAATATTACTTCTTATTAATATATTATTCTTATTAAAAATATATTAATAATATATTCTTATTAATATAAATGTTAGGTTTCATGGATAAATATGTTTGAATAGGCATCCCTGTTTTGTACACAGTGTAATTGATGTCTACTAGCCTGGGCAATTGAAAGTCTTAAAAAAGACTTTCAGCAGGGTTCAGACCTGTGTCCATCTTATATTTGGGATACCACATTCAAACTAGGTGTGTTTTGGACCACTCAGCCATGAAAGACTTCACAGCAAGAAGCTGATTTTCATAAAATTCTGATGTTTGGTCATTTGTTCAGATTTTGTGAAATAGGTCAGGCCAAGGACATTTCAGCACCTGCTTGTATCCCACCCCTACACGTGTGTGTGTGTTTGTGTGTGTGTGGATATATATATATAGATATATATCTATACATATATGCGTGTGTGGATATATATATATATATATATATATATATATATATATATATATTTACATATATCTACATTTAGCTTTTAATGGCTATATTTGAGTTATTTTGAGGGAAAAATAAATTAACTCTGTTATATATGCTGCAGACAGGTTACTTTTCATTGTGTCAAAGTGTCAATTTGTCAGTGTTGTCCCATGAAGAGATATACTTAAATATTTGAAGAAATGTGAGGGGTGTACTCACTTTTGTGATACACTGTATATATATATAATGGACTCCCGTCGGTTTCGATGTATGAGGATCTGCCAGCTTATTGATTCAGTTATGAAAGTTTATGCGCTAATCTTAAGTGGCATTTAAAACCTGCTAGTGATTTACAAAGGAGGCCACATATGGAGCAAGTGTGAGAATTGTGAGATCACTGTTAGATTGGTTGATCTTTTTAGATCTTGCTCTCGCTTCTTGAAGATAATTCAGACAAGCAGATTGAAAATTGCTGAGTCCACTAAAACACGTTGATCTCAATATATATATATATATATATATATATATATATATATATATATATATATATATATATATATATATATATATGTAAATAGCAGTAACAAAGCCATTTCCTTATAAAAAACTTTCAGTGTCCATTTATTAAGTAGTCAGTACTCTCAGTTAAAATTCATAAAATCTTTGGCAAACATCGACAAACCTGCCCACAATAAGATGGTGTATGAAGAAGATGTTTGTTTTTTTTTTGTATAAAACCACCTTTTTTATTACCTTTACTCTTTGGCAATGTTTATTATTTTAAAAAGTGATGATTAGAATTAGAACAAAACCTAAACATATGACGAAAGGGAATTTATGTTTTTTCCTTTGTGCTTGAGAACTGACAATAAAAATAATAAACACTATTTGTTTATTAGATTGATTATTTACACTATTTATTTATTATATTTAATAGAATGGTTGGCAAAACAGTGGCTAATTGTCAATTGATTCAAACTTTAATTGTAAATAATAATGATTTCCTTATAGTTGGTTCACATATAGTAATTTAGTAAATGTTTATGACTTTATGAATAAAACATTGTTATTACATTTATTTCGTTATAAATTGGTAAATGATAAATATTGCATTGCATTAGTCTTAATTGTGCTAGTCATAGAATGTTGTAAATATAAAATTATTCTTGTAAATAAAGGATGATGGTCCTCACTGAGGGCTACAAACTTCACTTGCTTGAGACCATTTTTAACAATTGATCTGAGAAAGTGGTTGTACACAGCTGACAGCTTAGACAATTTTGAACAGGTTGACCATCATGCACAAATAAAATACAAAATAAATAGTTTATCAAAAAAATTGTGGCAAATATTTACACCTTGCTCAAATCATTATCAATTTTTATGAATCAGACATCCAGTTTTATAATATTGTTTTTCTAAATGTTCCCCAACACAAGGCTCAAGAACCAATCAAGATAGATGGTTAATGAATAAGGTTGCACCATGCATGGCATCCATACTGATGAGTCTATTTAAGAACATGACATGAGTTTTTAAATTAATGTTTTTGTTTTGTAGCAACTTTTAGTGTTGGGTGAAACTATCCCTAGTATAGCTTATTTTGATTTCAATTTTCTCATCTCCTATACTCTTGTTATAACTGAATCTATACACCAATGTCTATCTAGTGATTATTATTTACACACCCTGAATTTTTATTTTTCATTTCTGCCCTATCTTAGGAAATATTTCATAAACCATATGCCTCCCTTTGTTAAAGAAATTAGGTCACTTTTTTTCTATAAGAATATAAGCCTTTGAGCAAATATTAATGTCAACAAACATTGAACATGGGTTCTCAAGACCAATAAACTTAGACTACACATCAATAATGCTTTCTTCTTATCATAGGGAAGTAAATATGTTAGGGGAAAATTTTATTTTGCTGAATTTTACTGAATCTTGACTAGTTATTTCTGGGTTCAAGTCTCTTTGGAACTGTTCTTAAATTAATTTTATTGTTTAAAACATAATTATTTTCTTCCAACCATTCAGTTTATTCTTCTGAAAATTTGAATAATTATTATCCAATAGCACCACTATTCAGCAATTTCATGCAAATAAACATTGAACAGGATCAGTATCCTGTCACACTGCTTTGGGTTTGGGGTTTATAGAACTTGTGGTGTTTAGGCGAAACTGTAAAAGGCAATGTAGCTATACTAATATTGTCTTTAACCAGCACTACTAAAAATAATCACTATGGCTGCTTTGTGGAACAGACTTCCACATGGATGCTTCCCTGAATGCTACAATTTTAACCTCTTCAAATCAAAGGTCAATCATTATCTACCCTCCATGTCATTATAATATTCACTTCCTACTACCTTCTCTCTCATTCAATAATCCTCTATCTTGAGTATCTCTTGAGCCTTGTATTTGGTAAGATTTAATAAAAAAAAGAAGATATCTAAACTTGGATATTATATGAAACTGTAAAAGGCAATGAAGCCATACTAATATTATCTTTAACCAGCAAAACTAAAAATAATCAATATTTTTACATTGTGTTAAAGTGTGTACATATTTGTATTGTGATGCTAATCATAGATATTATTTCAAAGAATGTTTATATTTTGTTGGTGATATTGGTTGACAACATAGAAAAATATGATCATGGAAAATATAATCATTGGACAAAGTTGGAATTCCAACTAAAATTGTTTTATGTTCACTTTCCACTAATTACACTTGGAAAGTCATAAATCCACTTGTCCATGCTTCAGTTAAATGGGAAATATTTAAATATTTTTATTTGACTCTCAACTTCTTTAACTAATGACCTGAATTTATACATATGATTGCTATTACAACGTTTTGCTAAAGTTGTTAAGCTCAAATATTTAACAATCCAATAGGAAGATTTCAAATTTCAATAGTATTTCGTAGAACAATTTGTTCATACCTCATACCTGATAAATGCTCCACTGTTGCTATAACCTCATGGTCTTATTATTGATAATATCCTTAGCACTGGGGAACGATTCTTGAGTGTACCGCCCAATTGCTTTTTTTTCCCAAAATTGTAGAACTGACGAAGAAGTGATTCAAGCATTAAATTAAGAATTGTGATTTATCAAAAGATCCAAATAGAAAAAACTTGAAAGTCAGACTGCTCTCATGTGTTTGAGATGGAAAAAACTTACAAATTTTAAATATTTCCATTTTTACCCTCTTACTTTAAATAATGACCTACATTCATTCTTATCATTGTTATTACGCTATTTTGTTAAATTTGTGAAGTTCAAATATTTAATGATTCAACGAGGGAATTTCCACAGATGTTTCATAGTTATAGAACTTGTAAAAAGATTATTCAATCATTAATTTAATGATTATGATTCATTAGAAAATTTAAATAACAAAACTGTGAAATTTTCACAGGTTCTACTCGTTTTAATAACCATATTGTGGTCCTATGTGATGCATTGATTGATATAAGTATGAATTATACTAAGTTTTGATAAGTGGCAATTTAACCTACAAGAGAGCATGGTATTATTAACTGTTAATTACATATGTTTGTTCCCATTCAGGATTTGAACTAAATATTCCAGCCATTGGTATAAAACCAGAAACTGAAATAACAGAGATTAAAAACTTGAAGCCTTTTACAAATTATTCCGTGTGCCTTAAAATACATACAGAAGAAGGCTGGAGTCAAATTAGTCCTCAGTTAAAAACTTCAACTCTTGAAACTAGTAAGTAAATTTGTTATTATGTTCATTCTTTTCTTTTTTCTTATTCTACTGTGATTCATTTTTAAAGACTTTATTTAATAATTTGTTTCTTTTTTTCTATTGACTTCTCTTCAATTTCATTTATTTATTCTACTCTCTCATCATCTCCCAGGCTTATGGCCATATCACATTCAAACACCAGTTCTTGCATAATCACTGAAGATAAGCAATGTCAAGTCTGGTCAATACCTAGATGGGTGACTGCTTCAAGTGCTGTAAGTTTGGATGTGTGGGTGGTGTAATGGATAATGGCTCAGAATTGTTAATTGGAGAGCTGAGTTCCAATTCCAATGGTGTTCGTTATATTCATTAACATGCAAATACTATTGGGGAAAGTATGAATCCAATTTTTCTGCCCACCAGCTATAGGTTAGGTAGTATCAGTAAATAATTATTTCCAAAAAATTCTTGCAATCTAAAAAATATTTGCTGGCTTTAAATAAGTTACAAAAGGTTGATAAACTGTGGAAAACAAATCAATCAATCAGTCATCTTCTCCCACCTTTGTACTCCTCAGCATTTCAAATTCATTCTTTTTTATTTTTATTTTTTTTTAAATCTCTTTATTTTTTCTTTCTACTTTTCTTCAATTTTTTCTTTTTTCTTCCCCTCTTCCTCTCTAATCATCCTCACATTTTCCTCTTTCCTTTTTTTTTTCTTTCCATATTCTTCTTTATTTTCTCTCTTTCATTTGAGATTCTGTCATGCACCACTTCCTGTCAGTCAGATGTGAATGTTAAGAAAACAAATAAGAAAATAAAAAATGTTCTCGGCACAGGGCCTTCTAGCATAGCATCTGGCTCACAAATAAATCCTCTCAAAAAAAAAGATATTAAACAGATATAAAAGAGTTCAATCACAAATGTTGTCACCAAAGAAAAACATGAAAAAAAGATGAATCTGGGAGCTACTACAATTTGCTTTTAAGAAATCCTCTCACAAATGACTAGAACAGAATGTGGGCAACAGATTAGCTGTCAACACCTGGCAGGTGCTTAATGTCAACACCTGGCAGGTGCTTAATGCCAACACCATGACCTCAGTTATCCAACCTGACACATACTTCCACTCGAGACCCATCATCCTACAAATTGCCACACCTCACTCACATAGAGACATTCCGCTCACATCCTCTGTATCAGCAAAGTCAGATTCACGGTGAATGGCAAGTTTCCCTAATGCACTCCAAGCCTCTATCAATGTTACCAAGATGACCTTGGTCAACTAACCCGACAAACACATCAACTTCAGGCCTTATCAACTCTACCCTTCATTTAAAACCCCCTACCTAGCCTACATTCCACTTGCATCAGCTGTATCAACAATACAAAAGAATTTTATATTCACAATTCTTGTTTTCTTTTTATTGGCAGAATTGTCTTCTCCTCTTTCTTTATCCCTTCCTTCAGTTTTTTGTTTCTTTGCCATCAACATATTTTTCTCTTTTTCTCAGTTCTACTTAAAATACTCTATTTTTTTACTCTTTTTCTAATCTATTTTTCATTCTCCTCCTTTGAACTTTTCCTTTTCCTACTCTACCCACTCTCTATTTTACAATTGTATATCATGTCATAAGTAAACATTCTTCTTGAAAATAGTTTAATTCATACCAACTGAACATTGTAAGTTAAATACATGTAATATTAATTACAAGAGGTAGAGTTTTTGTTTTACATCGATCCAGAATTGGGATTCTTTTAATTTGTTTTTAATTAACTATTTGTTGTTAATAACCTTCCAAAACCAACAATTGAAACATGAACCTTATGGTCTAACTCTTTAAGCACAAAGATCTTATTTGGATACATTTCATGGGATTGGTTTTATATTTTTCAGATCCTAGCAGTGTTAGAAATCTTCAAGTAACCAATATCACCAGTGGCAGTGTGACTTTAAAATGGGATCCAGCATTACAACCAAATGGAATTATCATAGAGTATAGAATTATTTATACAAAGGTAAAGTTTGCATTTAGAATTTTTATCATTATAACAGTTGTGGTAGAAAAAGAACCCAGCTGTGAATTGATTTCTTTGCTAGATGAATGATCTAATATAAAAGCCAATGTCAATGTTTTTAATCTGTTGAATTTTTATAATGTTAAAGGATACAGGAAGAGAGACTGTAAGTGCATAGACACAAAAATGGACTCTACTATGTTTGTATGTTCACTATAGGTAAGCAACTCCAGCTGGTAATATTACTACTGATGATGATGATGATGATGATGCCTCAGCTTCATTGCCATATTTGCCTGTCATCTGGATCACATTCTTCAACAGTCTTTTGAACAGGAGTAATGGTTTATCCCTTGTTTCCTGTTTAGAATTGTGTTTCTAGTTCTTTCTGAAGTATTTTTCATTCTCTTTCACTCTCAGTAGTCCCTTGCATCTTAGTGGCATTATTGCCTTGCTTTGGGTGAACTGATTAAAAAAAAAATTATTAAAAAACAGAAAATATGAAGAATTTTAAAAAATCTGCAAAAAAATAAATTGTAATTGAGATATGTATTTTTTGTTTAGAATATAAATATTTACATAATTTAGCATTATATAAATAATCAAATCATTTCCTTTTATGGGTTTAAAATTTTTTTCTTTCTTATTTAGTATTCGAATTAGTTGATAGTCCTACAGATCATTTGAGCAGGATCCTTAGTCTCTTCTTGAAAATAACCGACATTGATAAAGAGTTCCTCCTGTCCTCACCCCAAGGGCAAAGAAGTTGAATCCTGCAACAGTTTTCAATTGCTGTTTCATCAATTTGTATCAGTGACCACACATCATAGCCATTCATTATTTTGTATACGTCAGACAGATTGGTAAAGTGGCATCTTGATTGAAGTGATGGTAGCTTGATCTTGCCTTTAGGTTGGCTAAAGCACCTGTCATAGGTAGATTGTCATTAATGTGACAATGTAGTTTAGTGTCATCAGCAAAAGCACTGCTCTGTGGCTACTCGGTCTCACGTTGACTGTTGACCTGAGATGGAACAAATGCATTGAGTCAATTCTTCGTCCACCACAAGGAAAGTTGGCTCCCTGTGCTGTGCCAGAAAATTTTTCTCCCTGGAATCAATCCTCCAGATCTACAAATCAACAATTCGCCCTTGCATGGAGTATTGCTGCCATATATGGTCTGGAGCCCCTTCTGTTTGCCTCTGGGTTCTTGATAGGCTCCAGAGGTGGATATGCATTATAATTGGCCCTGTTCTGGTATCTTTTCTACAGTCACTCTCTCACAGACACGCCGTTGCCCCTCTCTGTCTTTTTTACAAATACTTTCATGGCAATTGCTCCGAGGAGCTGCATTCGCTGGTTCCCAGACTTCATGAGTTCAAGCGCCCTACGAGGCTGGCATCCCACTCTCACCCTTTCACTGTTGAAACTACTAAATGTAGCTGTCTCTTCTACTCCAATAGCTTCATGTCTCGCACCTCTTGCCTGTGGAACTCCCTTCCCTATTCCAGTTTCCTTGAGAACTATAATCTCCAACTATTCAAATGTAATGTTAATCGACATCTCCAGTTGCCTTGATCTATCCACTATCCTTCTCCTCATTCTTTCCTCTATCACTCTTATCTGATCTCGCTCCAAATCTTCTGTAATCCCTTGTGTCCTAGTGGCTTCCCACCTTGCCTGGGGTGATACGCTTAAAAAAAAAAGAATAATTTAGCAATAGACCTGATCAGATCAGGGATATTGTTTCCATAAATGAAGAACAGGATTGGCACCAAAATGGGGCCTTGTGGAATACTACTAATGAATTTCTACCAAGATGATAAACCATCTTGCAGAACTACTCTTTGTTTTTGTGAGAGGAGGAATGATTTGATCCAACTTAGAACTTTGCCATAAATGAGGCACTATATCAAAAGCTTTGGCAAAGTCTGAGTCAATAACATCAGTTTCCATTCAGTTATCATAGTTCTCAGTTCAATCATTGAAACATTCTAATGTAGGTACATTTGGACTGAAAGCTCTGCTGCTGGTAACTTATTGTTCCATTGACATTTATAAGGTGTGCAATTTAATCTTGGATGATTGTTTTTGTTGTAGAGTAGCTAGCACCCGTTCAACACTCTACCAGATGGCCTGGCTCATACCCTTAAATAGTCTATGATTAAGGACTTCAATGGTTGATTAATAAGTTGATTCTAAGCTAATTAATATTTGGACTGATCATACTTTGTTTGGCTATACAGCATTTGACCCTTTTCTATTCCTTGTAAGTTGTCTTGTTAATTGTTTTGTAACTTATTGTTCTGTGTTTTTTGTATGTATCTGTTAGTACCTGATACTGATGCTGAATAAATATATTAAGCACTCATTCTTCTCCATGTATCATTCACCTTGATGATACAACAGTTTTCAATCAGTTTCACTGGTCTGTAGTTACCTTTGTAGGTCTAAGAGGAAATCTTTGCAAAAGTGGTATGTAGCATCATATCAGTGACGAGGAGTTGGTCCTCTTTGGATTGATTGGTTGAACAAAAGGATACTATGGAGAATAATTATTTTTTGTTCAATTAAATTGGCATGAAATAATTTTGATTAGTAGCCTAATTATATTTTTAAGTTTTTTTTTTCCTTTTTTTTAAATTGCTTGTATTTTATTTGAAAAGAAATTTCACTGATTTAAGCAATCATTTTGTTGTGGTGGATTTTCTTAGCATTTTCATAGAAACCTTGATGTGCATTTTGTTTTAATTTTCAGCTTGGTGGCAGTCCATATACAATATCAAGTACTTCAAATATGGCAAATGTTTCTCATTTGAATCCTTATTCCAAATACAATTTTGCCGTGTCTTCTTGCAACAAAGTTGCTTGTTCAATGGAGCCTCGTAACATCAGTGCCAAAACTTTGATTGGAGGTAAGCAGAATTTTTAAGGAAATTAATCATGATTGGAAAATGAACAAAATATTTTCTAAAAATAAAATCAGGAAAATATATATATATATATATATATATATATATGCCCGATGACTTGGAAAGCCATTAAACTTTAAGTTGGACTACAAACGTAGGTATATATGTATTTATTAATATACACTTCATAGGTCTGTTTAACTACATTGATCACTATTTTGTTTACACCATAAATTAAATAAAATAAATATTTATTTGCTTATCTGTGTATGCATGGTATCACATGGACATACAGTTGTTAATATCTCCTTATTTAGTTTATATTCACACTTATCTATATCTATCTATCTATCCATATATCTATCTATCTATCTATCTATATATATATATATATATCTATATATATATATATATATATGTATATAAATAAAAAGAAAGAACAGTAAGATATAAAATCCGGTGTTCTTATAGATATTTTTATTTTTACAAAATAGTGCTCAATGTAAATTTACAGAGCATTAATATTATAAATTAATTGATTTAAAATATGGTTATTTTTTCGACACAGTTCAACCATGTTTCAAAAATGGAAAGAAAACCCTAATTTAATTTTGCAATTAAATTAAAAGCATTAGTTCCATTTCATCTTCAAGCGAATTTTGAAGATGAAATGGAACTAATGCTTTTAATTTAATTGCAAAATTAAATTAGGGTTTTAGCTTCTATTTTGAAACATGGTTGAACTGTGTTATAAAATAACTTTTTTAAATCAATTCATTTATAATATATATATATATATATATATATATATATATATATACACACACATACACACACACAGAGGGTACAGTTGATAAATTGTCACCATTTTATATTTTTAATTTCACACATGCACATTGTTTGTTTTTGATTTTGTCAACTGCACAGTATAGTAGGGTCATTTGGGCACCATCTCTGTGAGAAAATGAGCATTATGACATGATTCAGTCTGCCAGAAATTTGAAAATGGTATGCTGTACTGCTTGGCATTCATGCTGGGAGCTCTGATATGAACATTTCAGTGTGTTTGGATGTCAATCTAAGGACAGTGCAGAGGATTCAGAAAGAGTTGGATGAGTCTAATGGTGATTACGAAGGTATGGCAGCTCAGAAAACTCACTCTGATCATTCTAATAAGAAAAGAACTTCCAAATTTATTGGTGAGGGCCTCAGACTCAACATGGAGGCCTACATCAAGTGCCTTGAGGAGGTAGTGTGGCTCTGGGTCAAGAGAGTGGCTGGCAACAGGACTCTGCACCATACCACACTAGCAGGAAAACCCAGTCAAGGCTGTCAGACAATTTCTGCAACCATATCACCTCTTACATCTGGCCAACTAACTCTCCAGACTGCAGCACCCTTGATTATTAATGTTTGGGGCACAGTTGAGCAAGAAACCAACAAAACTCCTTCCAACACAAAAAATGACATCATCTGGAGCTAGTGGTTGAAGCCAATGGCGATTTTATTGAATAAATTTACTCTTTAGTATTTCAAGATATTTTTGTGCAATTTTGGTAAATATTTCTGTTAAAATGAGATGTCATATTATTTTCACTTTTGCACAATTTAAACGACAATTTATCCATCATAACCTGTATAGTGACTATGTGGTTAAGTGACCTTACATTCATTTTTATATAAATATATAAATATAATTTCTTTTTCAGACACTGCCGTCGTTGATTTGCAGCTGAAGATAATAAATAAAAGCATTTTGATAATCACCTGGAAGCCCCCATCTTTCTTAAAGGAACCTGTAGTATACTACAAACTTAAGATTATAGGCGGCAAAAAGGAGATTACTGAAAATGTGACTGACACAAAATACAACATAAGCATTTCATGTCAATCAGATCATACTTTTGAGGCAGTTAATGTGACAGCTGTGATAAAAAATGAAAGCTCTGTTATTTATGGAGAATCAACAATATCCCAAATCTTATGTCCAGAAAGTAAGTATTCAACCATTGGTATATTTTTGTGTGTATGTTGGTGGAGAGTCACTCAATTCTTTTCTGTTTTTTCTCTATTTTAAACTCTTTCCTCTCTCCTTCACTTTCTGCTCTGTCAATTTTCCTTCCCTCTCTTTCTTCTATTCTTTATATCACTCTCTTTTTTCTCTCTCTCTCTTTCCTCTCTCTTTCACTTTCTGCTCTATCAATTTTCCTTCCCTCTCTGTCTTTCTTCTATTCTTTTCACTGTTTTTCCTCCTTTCTCTCTCTTATCATACTTTCTATAATCTTGTCCTTTCTTCTTTCTATTGATTTTCACCTTTCCTTTCCCTATCACTCATCTACCTAAAATGATTGATCACTTTCATAAAATGCTTCAAGTCATTTTATTTATTACATTATTTACATCTTTGTTGTTATTATTGCAACCATGGATGGCACATACTACCCCAAAAACCCTCTTTTAAAATTCTGTCTTTGCAGAGGTTAGGTGATACTGTTATTAAGTAAAAATTATATTTACTAATCATAAATGGAAAATTACAATTTAGCAAACACTAGTATTTTTAAAAGAATTTGTTTTTTTTTGTATGTGCATAAACATGCTGATTTTTGTAAATACAGGTGTCCATACACAACATTATCAGAAAATAAGTGATAACTAAAGTAAATTCAAAGCCAGAGTACCTAAAATTCAATAAAATATTAGATTACAGAGAACATTTTCCTAAGTTTTGAGATTATTGGGTAGTTAAAAATTATACAAAAATGGCGCTTACATTATATTTCTCAAGTAATTTTTACAGATATGTTCCTGATAGAAAAAAATGAGATAAACTTCTGGCTATCAGCCAAGTTGTCAACCTATCAACAACTTAAATAAACAGCTACCTCCATGTTAAAAAATGCATTTCTTAGATATTTCAAACTAAAAGTGAGTACTATTTATTTTAAATCAAACTAACTAAATTTTAAATCAACTAAAATAAAGTTTCAGAAAAGTGTATTTTATTTTAAAAAAATCCAGTCAATTTAAATTAGCTTTGAAATACAGTAAAGTATTTTGCTTATTAAAAATATTAAATTTAATCTCTTAGCTTGAAATTAAAATTAAAATAAAAGTTACAAGATTGATTTTTCATTTTTAAAAATTCATTTTAAACCTTAGATATCACTTTAAGATTAAACTTTGGAACTAATAGAAATTACTATTAAATTTTTAATGGCATCTTACAGGTATGAAACGATATAAAAGTGGATGACAGAAACAAAAAGAGAAAGAGCAGATGACAGCATGAGTAGACAATCTCCCAAGAATTTCCTAAGTTTTTACACTGCTAGCTGAATTATCTTCAAAATCTTCTGAATGTGAATAATGACACAATGATGGTGTTGCATAAAATGTTGTAAAGACAATACTGATTGTCTGACATACAGTCAAGACATTATCTGTAAAGACGATGTTGATTGGCTAAAACAGAGTCAATACATTTGTATATACTTGGAATATAGTTAGCTAGTTGTCACTTTAACTGGCTTCCCTTGTTCATCTTTACCCTAGCCATAATACCACATACTGGCTGTGGTTTAAGAACCATGAAAATAATTCACCCCGAAATTTAGAGATGACCTACAAATTCAAGTCTGTCTAGACAAAGTAAATTGACTCCCTGAAACAACTTAATGAAGACTGAAAGGGGTTAAGTAGGTCAGGACTGAAACATGGGGAGAAAAAAAAAAGCTGATTTGGCAACAAGAAATAGAATGACATTCAGAGAAAAATAAATAAAAAAAAAACATAAGGAAAGAAATGCTAAAATTGTTGCTAACTGTTGCTTGAACTCGCTATCCATGTGTTCCTTTTTCCCTTGCTGTAATACCACATATGGGACATCTAATGAAGAAGAAATATTTACTAACAAGGAAACACCCTCAGAGGAGTTACCAAAAGTTTTCCTTAATTTTACTCCTTGATCTGATGATATTTCTGAGAGGCTTTTAGTCATCTCCAATAAAGAACGCTGTGATATTGTTGAACATGGCACAACTAAAGTCAAGTTGGATAAATATCCTTACAATGACCACAGAAGATCCGTCTATGTCCGTCAAGGACACATGGCACAGTGGATAAAGGCGTTGGTTAGATCCAGTGACAGACCCAAAGAAGGTGAGTTCAATACCTGGTTAAGGCAGTGGAGAACTTTCAGAGGGAAAAATTAGCAGGAGATAACTGACATCCATCAAACATGGCACATGGAACTAGAACAGTCTACCCCAGTGATCGAAATAAAGGGTTCAGTTCGAAATTCCAACCACCTGAAGAAGGCCGGAGCGTACAACGGCCGAAACGTTGTGACAAATATGGCGGCAAAGATGAGGACAATAGTCCGACTGATGTAAATACTGACCACAGAAGATGTTTCTTAAAATGTCATAACTAGTGGATAATGCCAAATAAGGGGAAAAAGAAACGGTCATTGGTTGTTATATTCTTTAAAAAGTAACAGATTTATTGCTTTTGTTGTAAACTTTTTGGTGATACTGCATCTTCAGTGCTTCTTATAAAAGAAACAAATGTGTGCGAAAGTCTTTCTAAAAAATTGAAAGAATATGAACATGGTAAAAGCCATCAATACTGCTTGTCTCAGTGGATAATCTGTGTTTGGGTCTGACAAGCAAAGCAACCATAAATATGCAAGTAACAGAATTACTTCAGAAGCAGATGGAATTTTGAAGAATTTTAAATGTGTTAAAATTATTCAACTTTTTAACAAGAGGAAAAATCTCAAGTTAATGTTAAAAATTTCTGCAAAACATTGTTGATTTATATAAGATAGTATGATCTATTATGACTCTAATTTGCATTTAGATATATTTTATTTATTTTCAATTTTTCTAGTTGAATTGTTCACCTATATTGCATATGATTGTTATTGTGCATGATTAGGTTGCAATAAAAATTTGTATTTAATATGAATACTACTGTATGAAAATTGAGATTATTGTTTGCTTCATTTCCACTGAGTCCAAATTTGCACTACTTGATCTAGAGATTGAACTCACAATTACTATGTCATCAAATTCATAAACCAATGTATTAATTTTGTTTTATTTTCAATTTTACAATATAAAAAATACTTTATTTTTATTATTTAATTTGTTCTTTTAATTTGTCATTGCTATTCAAAACAGAAAAAAAGGTTCTGTTGTATTATTTAATTTGTTTTTGTTATAAATATAAATACACTTACCAAAAAAAACAAAAAAAAAAAATTACATTTTTTTATGGTAGTGCATAGTGATTTTCTGCAAGGAAAGTCTGTAAAAGAAGTAAATAGGCCAAAGGCCAGCGCAAGTATCCTGCAGCGAATGAGGTATCATGATGGCAGTAATGGGGGACAAATGACCAACAAGAAGTCCAATTTTTTCTTGTCGATAACTTCAAAACAGTATGGTTTCTTGGTAAATTTTCACTTTGTTTCCCAAGTGCTAATATCCCTTCAAATTTTACCAAAATAGTCTTATTTCCATGCAAATGTACATGCTGAACTCAAATCAACAATTAGATCATGAAGAAACCTACCTTTTTGGATGTTAACGACCAGAAAAAAAATCGGACTTCTTCTTGGTCTTTCGTCAGCTATTACTGGCTTATTGAGAAGTAATTCACTGCAGAAAGATATGTGGCAGAGTCATAAAATTTGGGCCGATTTACTTCCTTTAGTGAAATTTCTTGCAGAAATCACTATGCGTTTCCGTAAAGTGATTTTTTTTTGTACTTAATTTAAGAAGAAAGTTAACTTTCAAATATATGAAAATATTGACAAATAAAAGAATAACAAAATAAGTAGTACAGTAAAGCATTTTTTCAATATTTAAAATTGAAAATAAAACAATAATTAATTCAATTGTAAAAGAGGAAGTTAATTTTGTCAATTTTGAATCTTATCATTTTGTACACTATTGCTTTGTTAAATAATGACCTGCATTTGTACTTATGATTTTTATTGTAATACCTTGTCCATATTTTTAAACTAAAATATTTAACAATGCAATAGGGAATTTCTATTGTCGTAGAATTTGCGAAAAAGTTTATTTATTCATTAATATAACAATTATAATTCATCAGAAAATTCAAATAGCAAAACCAAGCACTGCTAATTAATATAAAATGGCTGACTGATTTTTGTACAATTGTTCTTTTCAGGTGAGAAACTTTGGATAATTGTTCTAGTGGTGATATTTGGTGTTGCTTTGTTATTCATTATCCTTGTGTGTCTCATAAATTGGATGTAAGTATATTGTAATTATATATATGTGTGTGTGTAATCACTTAAATATTATTTTTAGTGGATATTTGTATTTGAATAGACACTTTGTTTATATATGAAACAATACATTTATTTATTTTTGTCTACAGGCCTGAATATTTGAGAAATTTTATTAAAACAAAATATGTGCTCACTGGCATGATTTGAACCTAAAAGAGAAACCATCATTAGATCTTAGAATTCTGGATAGTGCCTTTAAATATAGAGCTTTCTCTGACTCTTGAAATAGACTTAGATAAGGTTTTACATATTTTGGTCAATTGACAAAAAATAGTCTAGAAGTAAATAAAAATTTATCCAATATTTGAAATGAATTTTAAAATATATTCACCAGCTGAAGATATATTTTGGCAATAAAGAATCTTATCAAAAAGGATAACATCCAACACTTCTTTTTCTTCTATTAGAATTAAAATGAAATCCACACAGTATTTAGTATTGTTAACATAATTTTTTTTCTCAAGACTTACAAACTCTGCTCTACCCTATGTTTATACTTACAGTGTTACCAATGAGCATTACTAATATTACTAATGAGCATTATATTTTACCAGAAAACATATATGCAAAAAACAATACTGCATTTTTATTTAATAAGTATTCGTTATTTTAATCATTAAATCATTTTTAAAATAAAGTATTTTGTATGTTAAATAATAAAACTTGTAATTTTTACAAAGAAATTAATGAAAATTTATTGTACTAAACAACACACCCTAATAAAACCAATTGTGCTTTGTACCCCTTACCTGTTTGGATTTCTCTCCAAAATTTGGCTTTGATCATTCATTATGTGGCTACTTTAGAGGGTGACAGAATAACAGAATTTTATATATAGATAGATAGATGTGCTGCGTCTCTTCACAGGACATGTCTCGCCAAAACTTCCTATATATTGTGGCCTATAGTAATTTTTCTCCCTTTTCTAAGCCCCCACCTCACACATACACACCATCTGTTCTGCCATCCATTCACATATGCCTATCAGGTAGGTGGCTTGCTTACTTCCCCTATCTCTCTTGCCCTCAATATGCCCTGTGTGAGTTAACTTTTCCAAGCCCTCTTTCCTTATTATGTGTCCAAGAAATTTTAGCTATCTCTTCCTGATTCTGAGCATAAGTGTTCTTTTAGCTGCCATTTTCTTTTAGACTTCCTTGTTACTTGTTCATTCCATCCATGGAATTCTCAGTATCCTTCTGTAGAACCACGTTTCTGTTGACTCCAGTTTTCTCCCCATCCCTGGGAAGATCATCCAACATTCACTGGCATATAAGACGATGGATATCATATTTCAATCTAGCACTCTTTTCTTTTTACAAAATGGATTAAATTCGATCTATTTTTAATTTATTTGTTTAAACATTATTTTTAATGGATATTTACTCATATTTGAGTAAATGCTCTGTTTTTATTTATTTATTAAACAGTATATTTATTTATTGACATCAACTGGCTTAAATATTAGAGAAATCTTGTTAGAAAAATATCCTTCTGGAGAATGCATATTTTTCTAACAAGATTTCGAGTATTCATTAAAAATAATTATTTTCTTTGTTTTTTTGTTTCTAACAAAATGTTTCTGTTTCATATCCCTTTGCTTGGCTTTTGGAGTTTTTCTGCATGTTTGAATTTAAGGGTCACTTTTTCTTGGATATTTTTGGCTCTTTATTTTTTTTTTTTTTGTGTAATTTATATTGAGCTATTCCTCATTAACCGGCCTACATTGTTTTGGTTTGGTTTGGTTTGGTTTGGTTTGTTTTGTTTTACGGCATATCAACCTCAATGGGTCATTTAATGCCGACAACTTTTTTCCTGGTAATATTTTTGTTTTGTCAAAAATCTATTTCTGGTAATTTTTTACAAAGTATTTCTGGTATTAAAACCTATTTTTACACTTTCAAAATGCTTTTTACCTCAGTTTCGGGGTTAACTATTTGGCCATAACTGGGACCCTAACAGGTGCTACCACCCCTGGTCAGAGTGGACCTGGGAACACCGGCAATTAAGAGGTGGTTCCATGCTCCTCAAAACTTCAAGCTTTGTTGGCTGAATTTCTATTTGTCACAATGTGCGTGTTTGTGTGTCTATCATTATATATATGAGTGTCATTTCATTTACAAATAGTTTGTGTATAGTGGCATGTGGCTTAGGGGTTAAAATGAACAGTTGATTTACCCACATCAAGAAGATTAATGAAGGATGATAATGATGAGGAAACACACAGATAATTTTAACAAAACAAGATAAAGAATTTATTCACAAATTTACACACTTGAAGTTGTGTCAGTAGCTCATTTCAAGAAAATAAATCAGAATTCTTAAAGTCCATAGTTTTAACAAATTGTCATGAAGAGGAAATGTTCATACAACAGATTAAATGATCTGACACAAAATAATATTAAAAAATGTTTAAGACAAAGGTAAGAGAGTTGCTCATTGAAGAGATATATGGTTGCAGAAAGGTAGTTTGAAATACTTATCTTTCTTGGATTGCTGAGAGAAAATTCTTTGAAGTGCTACATAATGGTTAGATTAATGTAATTTTACCCTGTTTATTGACTTCCTCCTCCATACTCTGTGCTGTCAGTGCATATACAATGATAATTATTATGTTAATGGGCTTCCCTTTCAGTTTAACTAACAGGATTCTGTCTGAGATTGGGCAGTATCCCAGAACACATTTCCTCATGTCATTATCTAATATTAACCCGGCACCTCTTTCATTTTTCTCTTCACCTGCATATATTACCTTCTGTGTGTGTCACTTATGAAGTCCCCATTATTTGCCCACCTAGTTTCATATATACCTAGAAGTTGATATTTAATCTGTTCAGCACTTGCTTGATATTTTCAAACTGGTCACACTTGTATAGAATCCTTGCATTCCAGGACCCAATTACTGTTTTTTATTTGCTGTTAACAATAACTCAATAATAGTCTGGGGGGACACCTATTGCTCATCCTTTCTGGGTAAGGAGTTGTTCCTAGGGAACTTAACCCCCTTTATGCCATTATTCATTATATTCATTTTGTGAACAGTCACAAAATGATGGTCAGCTGTTACACATGATTTCCCTTACCAGGTGAGGAGTTATCATCAGTGGACTTTACTCCCTTCATTGCATTATCTCTATTATGTATGTTGCTGTTACCATGATTATTCTTGGGATAGGTAGTGGAGAAGTTTCCTGTTGCCTTCTCCATGGTGTTTTTATTGAGACACTAACTCTAGTTAGTCAGTTGTTGACTCATTGACAGATCTGCCACCATTTTATAGGTCTTATTTTTCATGATACAGTGTTGCTAATAACCTTCCACACACCAGACAAAGTGGAGCAGAGGAATAAGTTTAGATATTAAACAAATTTTCCTCTTTGGGAAGAAAAAGAATTCTTTCCTTCCAGGCCAAAGTTTGATTAATGAAGCCACTTTGAGTGTGAAAAGGGGTGGAATTTTCAGTGATTTCACTTTAGTTTATACCAGTGAAGTGTAACTCCTAATGAAGTAAAAAAGAAGAAAGCCAACTACTATATCACCAACAAATTTTTTCTTCTACAAAATAAATTTGATAGGCTATAATTGAAGACAAAAGATGAACAAAGACATATGGGATTGGTAAAATAATTCTTGAACAAATAGTGCAAAACACATCTAAAAGAGGAAAAATGGCATAGCTCGAACATTAGTTTTAACAGCTTCTCATTGGATGGAATCAGAGAGAAACTATTCAATGTCAGTTCTCCAAGACTCTTTACCTATTCATCCAACACTAGGTTTGGCAAATAGTTGATTATGTAAAGGACAACATATATACATAACCCTGAATCTTGAGGATGATGAGAAATCTTATTGAGAGCACTTGATCACAAACATTCAGACAATATCTATGCTCATTGGATCCAAATGTCCACTCTCTTGGATATAAAGAAGGAAATTTAACTCGAAAAATTAAAAACAACACTTATCTAGCATTTTTAATCAAACCTGCATCAATACATACATATATATATATAATTTTGAATATTATGATAGTTTAAGTGTAATATTTGGAGTTGTAGGATTCTTGCTGAATTAGTTGAGTTTATTTAATTTTTTACAAAAATACATTTTATAATGACAGAATTTTATACATATATATGTAAAAATAATAATTTAACATTTTAACTTTACCATATTTTCTTGTGTATAATACAACTTGAGGATAATACAACTCCATGTTTCTGAAGGTAAAAATAAGAAATAAACTACACCCTTGAGTATAATATGATCACATAGTACATCCAACCTTGTGTATTTGTTTTTAAAGTTGTACCATATTATCCATTAAAATCTTACAGCTGTACATATATTTCACTAAAATATTTAATTTTTCAGTAATGTATACTAAAGAATACAAATGAAACAGATTTTTAGCCATTGTGCATTGCTTTTGATTTCCATTTCAAAACATATTTTTGAATTTTCAATGAAAGGTGCTAACTAGGCATACCTTGTGCTAAGGTGTTAATTAATCTATCATACTTTTCTGTTTGATATGACTTTATTATACTTCTATATATTAATAGAATATGAAAATAAAAAGAAAATACTGTCTTTTTATTAAGAATGAAGAGAGAAAACTTTACAAAAAAACAATAAAATCAAAATATAAACTTTATCTTGTGAGCAAAATTGTTCTAATTTTAAAGATTACGCTGATTCCCAACGAACAAATATGGCCGACATATTGCCAACAATTATTATCAATACCTATCTACTTTGTGTTTTATTATCTATTGTGCTAACTGAATGTATTTGTAATCATGCTGTTTTAAATAAGATCTTTTTTAAGTCAATTAAAAATTTCTGGAAATGTGTACTTGTGTATAGCATTCCCACCCCACCATTTTTTAATTTAATTTTTGTTCAAAACATCTCATTTTATGCACAAGAAAATATAATGTCATCCTGTTGTAACACTTTTGATTATATTTAAATATTGTCACATTGTTAATGGGCTTTAGCATAGTACAAGATTGAAATTTGTTTGAAGTCTTTGATTAGAATTTCCTATGTAGAATATAATTACAATATCTGGTAATAATTCAATAAATTAATCTGACCTTGATGAGTGGTGTATCTGTGATACTCTGAAGTCAGTCATTTGAGATTTTCTTAATTTGATAACCATTGTTGTTTTGAGTCTTTATTGAATCCTTGACAAAAATTTTTCTCACCTTGAAGTACATTAAATTCTACTAATTTGATGTATTTTGATATGTGTTATGGATTTGTATTCTTATAATTTTATGTTTGTATAGATTCTGTATATATTTCTTTTTTTTTTATTCTTAAAGACATAAAAACACAAAAGAAATTATTACATCTGCAAACATTCCTGATGTGGTAAGTTTTAAAATTCTTTTTTTTTTTTTTGGTATTATTCAAGTAAAATGATTTAAAATAAATTCTTTAATATCGCAGAATTACAAAAATGTTTTTTTTTATGTTTTCCATATTAAAAGAAATAAATAATAACTGTAAGTAATTGCACCAGCAAAAAATACCAATTAAAAGTGAAAAATAAAAACAAATTTTTATGGATTCTTGTAAAAACTAAATCAAATTACAAGTAAAACCATTTGATGAAGTCTGCTAAGAAAAACCCATTTTTTAATATGGAAAAATAAGTGTTAAAAAACTTGAACGATCTGATGGAAAAATATGAAATAACCCTTTTTACAATATGGCCAATATATGAATATTGACCTGCCATTGCTTTAATGAAAATATTTCCACAATGGTAAAATTTCACTCAACAAATTGTTCAGTATATAGAACAGTGACCTACTTCTTGTATGTGCTATGTCCCTTCAGGTTATGGGCAATCATACCTCTTCCCAATTCCTTGTCTTTTCTTGCCCTAAGTAACTTTTGAATTTTTACCATTTGCCCATTTACTTTGCCCATTTCTCTTGCTTTCTGTATGTCTTGCATGTGTTAAATTCTCTCAGCTCTCATACCACATTATTTTTCCAAGAAACTTCAGTTATTTCTTTATGACCATAAGTATAAATTTTCTTCTAGTTCCTGTTTTCTTTGACACTTCCTAATTGCACACATGTTCCTTCCATGGTATTCTTAGCATTTGTTAATAGAATCACATCTCAGTTCCTTCAAGTCTCTTCTTCATCTGTGAGTAGATTGGCCTGTATTTACTGTCACATAGGAAATTACCTGTTACATAACATTTCAGTCCTTTATATTTAAGGATATTTTCATATCTCTTAATACTTTACTTAGTTTCTGGAAAGCAACTTTTGCTATTTATATGCACCTTAGGTTACTGTGTCACATTTTCTATCGTTTCTACAACTTTACCTAAATAGTTAAATTTCTGTATCTGCTTGATTTTTTGTTGTTGTCCCTAATACATAGCTCATATCTTGAGATGTCTCTTTTGCTGATAACTACACATTCTGCCTTCTTGTAGTTAATAGGTAGTCTTTTCTTCTTGCCTTCCTTTACTACTTTGTCTAAGAGTTCTTTCATTTTCCTTAGAAGTCTGCTATCTGTATATATTGCGTTAAGATTATATCTGCCGATAATAAATCCTAGTTCTCTCAAATATCATCTTGCTGTATAAGTTTGTTGTGGACCCCCTGAAAGGTGGCAATATAATGTAGGCTAAGGCCTGTGTGCCCAAAAAGAGATGAGTCAGAGGAGGCCCATAAACATTTAAAAATAAATGACATAAATCTGACAGGATGAGATAAGGACAACAAAAACAAGGAACTTAATGCAAAATTTACTTACATAATATATTTAATAATAGTGTTTCGATTAAATGAACAAATGTTTAAAATGACAACTCAAACATGAACAAATAATGAATAAAGTAAATGGAAAAAGAATTAAGTAAACAGAGGAATACTGACCGGTATAGTATAACAAAAATAACTGTAAAAATGTTAAAAGTAGAGTCCATGTAAGTTTGATGTCCAGTGTGGTGCTGAGCAGATGCTGTTTAAAGTCAAAACAATAATCTTGTCCATACTAATTATCTAAAAGTGTACATCAAAGGATGTTTGATGACAAGATGATATGCTGGCCATAGGATAAACCAGTGCATGGCTAGAAATAGGCAATAAGCTGAAGTGCTAGTGTGGAGCAGATGCTGGTAATAGGCTGGAGTAGTTTAAATGTCCGGTGCTGGCATTGAAGAAATACACAATGAAGCCATGAGAAATAATAGCCTATGTTGTGTTAATGTCCTTGCTGGCATTGAGCAGTCTCTGGGTGAAGTTAAGATGAAAATCTCTCCATTGAAATTAACCAAATGGTTTGAAGTAGTAGATGTTTGATGTCAGCACAATAAGTGGGCAGCAACTTCCTATGAAACCAGGTGAAGTAGGTTGAAAAAGGAAATGCCAGAAGTAGGGACCAATATGTAGCCAGAATTACAGGGCTCTTGTGTGATCTGGTCTATAAACACCGGCAATATGGGGCTGTATAGCTGTGGAAATGTACAGGTCAGAAATGCCAGAAGTAAAGAGGGTTTATAGAATTGAATGCGCTAGTCAGAAAACGCCAGAAGTAAAGAGGGTTTATAGAATTGAATGCACTAGTCAGAAAACGCCAGAAGTAAAGAGGGTTTATAGAAGTGAATGCACTAGTCAGAAAACGCCAGAAGTAAAGAGGGTTTATAGAATTGAATGCACTAGTCAGAAAACACCAGAAGTAAAGAGGGTTTATAGAATTGAACACACTAGTCAGAAAATGCCAGAAGTAAAGAGGGTGCATGGTAATTGAATGCACTAGTCAGACAACTCCAGAAGTAAAGAGGGTTTATAGAATTGAATGCACTAGTCAGAAAACGCCAGAAGTAAAGAGGGTTTATAGAATTGAACACACTAGTCAGAAAATGCCAGAAGTAAAGAGGGTGCATGGTAATTGAATGCACTAGTCAGACAACTCCAGAAGTAAAAAGGGTTTATAGAATTGAATGCACTAGTCAGAAAACGCCAGAAGTAAAGAGGGTTTATAGAAGTGAATGCACTAGTCAGACAACTCCAGAAGTAAAGAGGGTTTATAGAATTGAACACACTAGTCAGAAAACGCCAGAAGTAAAGAGGGTTTATAGAATTGAATGCACTAGTCAGAAAATGCCAGAAGTAAAGAGGCTTTATAGAATTGAATGCACTAGTCAGAAAATGCCAGAAGTAATGTGAGAAACCCAGAAGAAAAGATCTGTGTAAAGGAAGAAAAGTTTCTAACTAGCGTCCAGTTGGCAGATGAAAAAAAGTGGACTGTAACTTAATATAGAACTGGTTCAAGCGCCTTGGTCACAGGGATCAGGAGCCTGCACTCCTCCCCTTCTTTTTCGAGCAGCAAAAAGTCACTGGTTTATAAAAGTGTGCAGTCACATTGCCAAGCTTGAATTGTACTTAACAGCAAAAAATTAAATACTGAGCTAATAGAATGTATAAAAAATGTTATGAAATGTTCAAGGAGACTATTTAGATTGTGTTAATAATAATCAATCAACTAAGAGAAATAAACCTGTTATGTTGTATAGAAGAAAGTGGTGTGATGCAATGAAGAAAAAGCAAAGATCCTGAAATAATATAACATGAATGGAGTAGTGGAGACTCTGTGATGTTAAATAGATTCAATGCAAAACTACCACCTTGTCTTACTTTCCTTTCTATTTATGTGTATTTACTAACTTCATTCTCTGTTTGCATGCAGGCTGTTTGTTCATGGTAGAGATTATAGATTACTCAAAAATCTTTCCCATGTAAATCAAGCTTATCTGGCATTTCAAGTAGATCTTTGTGTCATACTTTATCAAATTCTTTTGTGTAATCTATGAAACATAGCTATAGATCTCTCTTCATATTGCTTGTTACACTATGATTGGGACACCCACATAGAAATGGAAAGTGTGATCATATCTTGATCTCAAGGATTTCTTTTTTATCGCTCAAACAGGTTTTAATTTTTCTAAGTGACAGCCACTTTGACTAAATGGGAATGGAAGCACAAACGAGTGAATGTGGAGACATTTTGAGACCTAGTGACAAAACTGGAGATAGAGTTTATCCAGTTGCTGACTGTTGTCATGTTTGAGATAGCAAGAGTCAGTTCTAATCCACCCTTGGCAGGGGACAGGCTTATCTGCCACATGATTCCAATACCACCTGTTCATATTGCCAGCCACATGTTGTAGATGAACAGAGACTAAAATTGACTGACTGAATAGTACATGTGGTGCCCTGATGATCCTGATGGCTCATGGAACTCGTGGCTCCTTTCCTGTTTATTCAGAAAGTATAAATAGGCAAAAGTCATTATAATAAATTACTGTTAATTATGGTTTATGGCAAATGTCCCAATGAGCCCCATTCTTTAGTTTTAACAAATTCAGACCTTTACAGGTCGGATATGTCATGCTACTTCCATGATGTCTAATCATCCTTGTGTTCTGGTGATAAGAAGAAAGCATGATCCAGACAGCTTTTTCTCAAGAACTATGGAACTGACTTTCATGTGTGTTTTACCTGAACATCACAATATTAACCTTCAAGTGTCCGTCATTACTCTTTATCTTCATAATCTTCACTTCCTACTGCCTCCTCTTTCATTCATATCACACACCTCATTTATCATGACTATTTCAACAGAACCCACTACCTTGTGTGGCTCTCGAGCCTTATATTGGGTGAATTCTTATATAAAGCTATTATCTCTTATCAATATTATTTTATTATCTCTTATTTATTATCAATTTGTGTATTAGTCTTCTTTACTAATGCTAGTACAAAATTGTCATAGAAATTAAACTCAAAATGGTTACTCAGATAAAATAAGGAAAAATTATCTATGATTTAAATATTTTTGTGTAAAATAGTATAACTTAATGTTATATAATTTATCTATCTATATTGTAATCTCTGGTATTTGTAGGTAATGGTATCATGTTATTTAACTATATCATGTCTTATCTATATTCACTTTTACATGTCTTTGTCAGCTTTAATCTACCTGCATCTTGTGCATAATACCCTTATTTATATCCCCTTTTATGTATCTTTGTCATCTCTTTTTGTTGTGGAGTAAATAAGACCCCCCAGTAACACAAATGAACTAAGCAAGATGCCTTAAATAAAGAACTCAAAGTGAGTCAAGGGAAGTTCATTGGAGTCAATTGAGGAGAATTTTTAATGACATCACAGCAAGTAGCCTAAGCGAGACATAATATTATAACTGCTAAGAGCAAGTTATAGCGGTGGAAATGAGAGATTGAAACTCATACAGAGTAGGAAAAGGTGCTTTTTTGCTTCAGCACATATGATAACAATAATGACAAGAAATAAAGAAATGTTGATTTAATTTTTTCCTTTGGTGTATGTAAAAAAAAAAAAATAAAATAAAAAATAGATATTCTTTAAATATGGAAAAATTATTAGTCCAAGTGGTAAAGATACAACAGCAGCAGTTGTTGGAACTCCAAAAAAACACCAAAATTTAATTGAAATAATACAGAAGAAAACGGAAAATTTGCCAAGTTCTCTCACTCCCAATGTGCTGGCAAATGCGATAGCTGAATTCACATACAATTCAGATGATGGAATTACCTTTTCTGCTTATTTAGAAGATACAAGCAAATTTTCAGAGAAGACATTAGCAACTGGGAAGATGAGAAAAAAACAAGACTTTTATTGAGAAAATTAACACTGGTAGAATATGAAAAATACTGTAATTTTGTATTACCAAAAAAACAGAAATTTGCTTTGAAGAAACAGCAAATATTTTGACTAAATTTCTTAGTGAGAAAAGTTTGTTATTGGAAGTTGGAAGTGTATGAATCTGGTGAAAAAAGAAGATTTTGTCACATATGCTGGAATCGTTAACAAGGGGCATGAAAGATTCAAATCACACAAACACCGGATATGTCTAAAGGGTTAATTTTCATTCAAGGGTTAATGGTGAAAAAAGATGCAGAAATATGTGCTAGAATTCTAACAAAACTAGAACAGAATAAAAAACTAACAATACAAGAAATATTGGACGAATGTCAGAGAATCCTAAATCTAAGACATGATGCAAAAGAAACTGAAGAGAAAGAATACACATTCATAAAAGCTAAAGAAAGATGTGGGAAAAGAAAAATTAATTAATAAATGTGGAAGGTTACATCTCAGAGTTAATTGTCCCTTCAAAAATTCAAAGTGCTTCAAGTGTGGAAAAATAGGACACTGTAAAACTAAATCAAAGAAAAGTTCTCACTGAAAAAAATTCATACATTGATACCAAAAAATGCTGAAACATTTGAGGACATTGTTATTGCAATATTAAAAAGAGAAATAGAAATTAAAAATATATTAAGCAATGTAATAAGCAAACTACTAGTTACCCCGGAAGAAATAAAAGTAAAAGCAGAACAAAACATTTTGAAGATAAAAAGACAACTAAAAGAAAGTAAAAAAGGTAGGTGATTTTTAGAATGCAATCCAGACTTGAAAGCTTATTTAATATGTGACAGAGTACTTAGAGTAGTAATACCTATCATATTACAAAATGGATATTAAATAAATTTCATAGTGAACATCTGGGAATTTCAAGAATGAAATCTCTTATGAGAATCTCTGCATCTCTGGACCAAAATGGATCAAGACATTGAAAATTTAGTAAAAGCCTGCAGAGCTTGTGCTCTGGCAGCAAAACAACCTACCATAAAATTACAACATTGGCCAAAAGATGATATTCCATGGTCAAGAGTGCACATAGATTTTGAATGTCCAATATATTATCTTATGGTAGCAGGTAGCTTTACTAAGAGGCCTGAAATTAGTAAATGCGAAAAACCAACTTTCACAGTAACAGTGAATTTTTTACACAAACTGTTTGCAATATATGACATTTCAGTTGTCATAGTTTTGGATAACGGTACACAATTCAGTTTTGTAAAATGTTCTCGATTGAACATATTGCTATCCAGACAAGCTGAACAGTTTGTGGGTACTTTTAAGAGAGCTTTTAAAAAAGCATGTCATGAAAAAGTGAGCTAAGAAACACTACAAAAATTCTTGAGAGTGTTGTATAGCCCCCTCGTTCTAGGGAGGTCATAGTTGATGGGGTCAATTCTATAATGTTGTATCTTCTATTGCTCATCTTCTCCTGGCCGGGTGTTGAAATGTTTTTTGGGTCCAGAAATGTTTTTGGTTCGGAGATCAAAAAGAGACATCAACAAGAGGAAATTTTAAACTTACTAGTTTATTAATCATGTTGATGGGTACATCTTATCAAGTGGAGCTTACTACACCCCCTATTAGGGAGCCACTTTCAAACACGAAAATCTCACATGTCCATTTCCTTTTCAACCAACTCTTGAAAAACCTTCTCCACTGGTAGGGGAGGGTTTCACAAACAAAATCTAACATACATTTACTTTGACATTCAAACAGCAACTTCTCATAAAACCTTAATGTATACCTCATTCCCACATTCGGCTCAGCCAATTAAAATCAACTTCACTATTTAATCTACCATCTGGCCTTAAAGGTCAGCCTCAGAAGGTCTGAGCCAAAATAAACTGCCACTAAAAAATAATAGTCTGAAACTGTTATTTAACAAGTATACTAGATAACAATGAATCCCAATACACCAGCAGGTATGTCACTGGCTGAATTGATATTCTTATGAAAAGTTAAATCGGTGGTTGACAAGTTGTTACCAGGTAAAAAACAGAAAATGAACTGATAACAAAAAGGACACAAAAATTTTTTAAATCGGTGAAAAAGTGTTTTTCAGAGTATGTAAAAATAGAAAAGAAATGTGGGAAGATGGCATAATAAGATCACAAATTGGAAAAATGATATTTATAGTAAAAGGATAAAAATGAGAAAACAAAAGACACTGGAATTGTTTAAAGAAAAGATTTACTGAAGAAAATACCACAAGAAAGGAAGAACCTATGCAAGTACTGTATGATATTTTTGATGCACCAACAACCCAAGAATTTGTTGTGCGTACAAGTATGATTACGAGAAACAGGAAACATACAGAAAAACTAGAGGTTACCCCAAAACAAAAGAAATACAAAGTCCAGTACATGGTGAACTCTCTAGAAAGTGGAGGGGGTGAATGCTAAGAAATAAGATATCTACTAGTGGAAAAAAAAATCTCAGTAGGGGAATGTTGTGGAGTAAATAAGACACTCCCCCCTGGTAACACAAGTGAACTAGGCAAAACACCTTAAACAAAGAATTCAAAGTGAATCAAAGGAAGTCCATTGGAGGCAGTCAAGGAGAATTTCTAATGACGTCATGGTCAGTAGACTAAGCTAGACATTATAACTGCTAGAAGATAGTTATAACACTTATCTACCCACATCTTGTGTATAATATCCCTTATCTATATCCCCTTTTACGTGTTTTTGGCACCTATTTACCTGCATCTTGTGTATAATATCCTTTGTTTCTTGTATATCCATATTATATCTTGTCTATATTGTCACTTATGTATTTATATAATATTGTATTTGTATCTATAACATCTCTTATCTATATTTTAAATATCCATATCATCCCTTATATCTTGTCCTATGTACTTATATCTTCTGATATTATTATATATGTATATCTTATCTTTATCTTATACATCCATATCATCTTTTATTTGTGTTACCTTTTATGTATCTATATAATCATAATCAATATTGTATACATGTTTATTATCTTTTCAAACAACACTCTGTGATTATTTCCTCCCTTTTTGGGGTCTGGAATTGTCATTGTCTCATTTTCATCACTTCCTAATCTAGTAATACTTTTCTTTCAGAAATGTGATCACACTTACAATGAAATTGACAATGTAAGTTTTGTTATTCTTTATTATATTAAGTCGTTACACATGAAATGACACACTTTATAAGAAGTGAATAAAATGCTTCTGAAATATTAAATAACTAATTTATTTAGTTGAAGTGGGGTTCCATGTTATTTACACTATTTACATGGGGCTCCATGTTATTTACACTATATTTACATTGTTTGGACTGTTGTCCTCATCTTTGTTGCCATATTCATGATGTTTCAGCTGTTGTATACTTCGGTCTTCTTCAGGTAATTGCAATTTCAAACCAAACACTTTATTTTGTCCACAGGGGTAAATTGTTCTAGTTCTACGTGTCATGCTTCTTCTGAATGTTTCAGTTATCTCCCTTTAACTCAACTCTCCATTTTTTTTTTGTTTACCACTGAACTCACAACCCCTTGGGTCAAGTTACTGGATCCAACTAATGCTTTTATTCACTGGTTTAGTGGGTAAAAGCATTAGTTGGATCCACTGACTTGACTCTAAGAGTTGTGAGTTCAATACCTGGCTACTGCAGTGGTGAACAAAAACTTGGAGAATTGAGTTAGAGGGAGATAACTGAGACATCTGGAAGAGGCATGGCACATAGAACCAGAACAATCTATGCCTGTGGATGAAATAAAGGGTTTGGTTCAAAATTCCAATCGCCTGAAGAAGGTCAAAGCATACAACAGCTGAAACATTGGGAATATGGCAACAAAGATGAGGGCAACAATCTAAACAATGTAAATAGTGTAAATAATTACAATACCTCATCTCGGAAATATAGACAAGCTCCATGTTGATGAATGACTGTTCTTCAACATACTTCTAAATTCTTGATCCCATCTTCAAAAAAATTTTCATCCTTTGATGTGATAAACAGTTCAAATGTTTCAATAAAACATTCTCCAATAAGGAAGAGGTAATTCCCTTCCTTATTGGAGAATGTTTTATTGCATATGAAAAGCTCAAAATGCTTAAATAAATGATAATCAGTAGGAGAGATATCAGATGAATATGGAGGATGAGGCAAAGTTTCATAATTACGGCTATGTAGCTTTTGAACAGTTTATTGAGAAACATGCAGCCATACATTTTTGTGCAGCAAAATTAGGCCATCCCTATTCACAAGTCTAGGATTTTTCTTTTTCAATTTTTTGTGCATACACTCAATTTCTCCATAATATGAGGTTACTGTTATTGTTTTCCTTTGAGGCAAGAATGAATAATGAATAACCCCTTTGAAAGACCACCATATAGTAGCCATTAAATTTTTAGGGTGCAGTGGAGGTTTTGAGTATTGTTTTGGTGATTCACTTGCATCTAACCACTAGCTTACTCTCTTACTGTTGTCAAAGAGTACCCATTTCTTATTGCATGTAATTATTTGATACAAAAATGGTTCTTTTTTCCAGTCAGGGAAGCATACAGTAAGGTTACTTGACATTATTTTATTGTAATCATTTTCATTGGGCTTATGAGTAACAATATATTGAAAGAAAAATTATATGGAAAGAAAAAAAGTCAGAAATAAGTCGAGATTTTTTTCATATACTTAGCTGTGGTTACTTCATTAGACAACAAATAACAAACCAAAAAATGCGCCATTTCATGTTGTCACACATAACATCATTGTTTTTTTATTAGGTTGTCACACCGAATAACATAAAAGAAATTATCAAATGTCGTTATTAAAATTTTATCAACTTATGATAAAATTTTCATCAGATTTCAAATTAAGTTGCATTCTGATGAACATCTTATTTTTCTGCTTGTTTCTTGCATGCTTTCTTTTCACTTTTTTTATGATACACCTGTTGCAAGAGTATGTACGTTGAGTGTTTAAGTTGGGAAACATGCGTGTCCTGGAATGTTTATCCCACAACAAAATTGACAGATTCGGTATATGAGTCCGGGTAATAAAATACAAAGAAACAACTAAAACCAATATATATACAAACAAACAATCATGTATTATTAACAAGACAGAAGTGGAAACACTGTGGAGTAATGGCTAGCAACTCGGATTGAAGAATCAGAAAGCCGAGTTCGAATTCCAGTGAAATCCATTATATTTACTTACATGCTAATATCCTTGGGAAAGGTATGAATGCTCTTCTTCTCCCCACAGCTATGGGTAAATAGCAGAACAGGCCAGGTTCTGTAGCCTTGAGTGGCAACTGGTCTAGGAGAAGAACAACTCTGAATTCAAAACCTGATCTTCCAGGTTGGGGGTTGTGCAGTCGGCTAACAACCTACTCACTTAAAAAAAAAACTGGCTTGTTACAGAAACCATAATGATATCTTGTGGCCCCATGTTCTTCAAAGAATTTAAAGACATATATATATATATATATATATATATATATATATATATATATATATATAAGAAGAAAAATATATATATATATATATATATATAAGAAGAAGAAATATATATATATATATATATAAGAAGAAATATATATATATATATATATATATATAACAAGACACAAAGTTATACTGCTGCGAGTGACAAAAACAATGATGTTATATGTGACAAAACTATGGAATGCATGAAAACATTTAAGGACTAGTGAATTGCGTATATAAGATATGTGGAGAAATCTTAGAGAAAATGAAGTCGCATACATGTGTGTGTGTTTTCATGATAAACCTACACCCTAGTGTGTCCTAAAATAGGAAAAAGAGAATGATAGAAAAAATTACAGTGTATTCATAGTCTTAGAAAGTGTCCTCTAGTGGTGTTTTTTAGGAAGGTAAGTGGAGTAACTCCACACACTGAATATATAAAATGTTTCTGTTATAGTCTTTAAATGTTTAGATGAAATAAACTTTGGAATAAAGAAGAAAATACTATATAATAATATATCGGGATATTATTAATTTGGTAGAGACATAGATATATCCACGTTTCTAGGTTTTAGAGATAGACACTTAACAGAACACCTAATTATCCTATATGAGTATGCAAATTGGCATAGCAATTGTGAGTTCAATCCCTGAGCTGGGTAGTACGGGCTTAGTAGAAGCAGAACTATCAAAAACTGACTAGTACTAAAGAAAACAAGGCAATATATCTCTAGAAATGTATAGTGACTTGAGAATAATTAAATAATATCAGTTTGAAATTCCCTGATAGTTGCCTGGATCAACAGACACCTGAAGACAGACAGTGGACACAACAGACAAAATGTTGTGATAAATAACAACAACGATGAGGATATTAGTTCAGAGGTAAATAATGAAAATAAAGATATTAGTGCAAATGTAAATGATGAAGATGAGGATATTAGTGCATATATAAACAATGAAGATGAGGATATTAGTGCAAATGTAAATGATGAAGATGAGGATATTAGTTCAAATGTAAATAATGAAAATAAAAATATTATTCCAAATGTAAATAATGCAGATAAGATTTGTTTTTTGTTTTTTAAATACAGCCTGATTCTATTAACATTTTTTTATTTGAATTTTCTGATGAATGTTAATTCTTAAGTTAATGCTTCATTAAGTTCATGGTGGGTTTTGTGACAATAAAATATTTGTTGAAATTCCCCTATCACATCATTAAATATTTGAGCTTAACAACTTTAACAAAATATTGCAGTAACAATTGTAAATATGAATGCTGGTCATTATTTGACAAAGTAAGGGGGTACAAATGAAAAACATTTGAAATTGACAATTTTTATCATTTCACAGAAACAGATGTTAAACACTTTTATCTTCCTTTCTTTCTTTCTTCCTTTCATTATCTCACTGAAACCAGGTAACAACTCTGATATGTTTTTTTCTGTCGTTCCACACATCAAAGCAGAATAGTCTATTATTTATATTGTATTGTTAGGGCATAACGGTTTTGCTAAGAATTCTAATAACGGTTTTGCTAAGAATTCTAATAACGGTTTTGCTAAGAATTCTAATAGGATATTGAAGAAAATCCTTTCATACACATAATTCTAATTACTACTGTTTTCTTCTTTTTTTTCTTACTTCAGATTGCAAGCTATACAATTATTTCGACAACCAGTGATTGTGATTCGCAAATACAATTAATCGGGAATTCTGATAACTTTGAGGAGAAAGAAATTCTAATAACCAAATGCAATAACACCAACAATAACAATTCAGGAGAAATATTAGAAATGAATTTAATACCAGCAAATATACATCATAAGGAGGATCATCATCAAAGAAATTTGCCTCAACTGAAATTGAACCAAACCAACCAGGATCTTAATGGCTATATACTCAATGATGTAAGCACATCTGAATTGGACCACGATAATTCAGATTCTAATCATCAAGGAACAGAAAACATTGATTCTTCTTACTTAAACTCAGCTAATATAGATTCTAAAGACTTATCTGAATTGAACCAAAGTAATTCAGATTCCATTGCTTTACCTGAATCCAGGAATGCAAGTCTGGATTCAAATGGTTATGCATATAATGAGATGAACTCACCTGAATTGAGCCAGGTCACTTCAGATTCTGATAACTATGTCCAGAATAATATAAATTCATCTGAATTAAGCCAAACTAGTTCAGACACCAATAACTATAAAGACACTGCTTCATTTGAATTGAATCTGGATTCAAATGGCTACATATATGATAAGATGAATTCTTCTGAATTGAGCCATGCTAATTCAGATTCCAATAGCCATAGAGATAATCCAGTTGCTGTATCTGAATTGAACTGTGAAAATCTGGATTCAAATGGCTACATATGTAATGAGGTGAACTCATCTGAACTAAGCCAGGCTAATTCAGATTTAGATAGCTTTGTACACAACAATGTAAATATATATGACTTGAGCCAGGTCAATTCAGATTCTGATAACTATGTTCAGAATTGTATGAACTCATCTAATTCAGATTCTAATGGCTATGTACACAATAATGTAGACATATCTGAATTGAGCCAGGCTAAATCAGGATCCAATAAATACATGGACAAACACCTTGCTTCATCTGAACTGAGCCATGGTTATAATTTTAATGCCAACAAATATGAGATAAAATCAGAATTGAGTTAAGCTAATTCATCTTCCAGTAAGAAGCTAGAGCTTATCATCAAAATGAAACCAGGCCAAGTTGACTATATCCACAATATAATCTCTTGTTAGAAAGGGTCTGCGCATAACACACCCAAACCATGCAGCTAGCCCAGGAGTGGACGGTATTGGGGGGCAAAGCTTTGTGACTCTCACTTTTTATCAACATTTGCTTTTTTCTACCTACATTTATATACATTACAAATTAAACTAAGCAGAAATGACTATTAAAGGGTGAAAAAGTTTTTCAAATTTTTATATAATTCTGTTTTTTTTTTCTTTTTTCTTTTTTTTTTGTCCAAGTCTGGGAATTTGATTTTTTTTTTTTTTTTTTTTTTGTTTTTTTTTTTTTTACAATGGCAACCATCTGCTTTGTTCTTCGTTCTGAAAATTTTATCTAAAAAAAAATACAACTCATGACTTTGACAGCACAAGCTCCACCTACCCACTCAGTGAAAACAGCATTTACAATGTTATGGTGGAATTTCGGAATAGAGGCCACATTGCTTCCTTTTTTTTTTCTTTTTTTTTTTTTAAATCTTTTTTGGTTTGGATGTAACAAAAAAAAAGCTGTTATCAAAAGCTGAAAACAGACATAAATCTACCACAAGCAAAATACATTAAATAAAAAATAATTTTTAATTATATTTTAATATTTAAATTTTCTATAATTATAAATAATTTTTTATGATAATTTTAATGATAATTATTATCTAATAATATTTTTATTATTAGATAGATATGATATATAAATTAATAATGATGATTATCTCATGAATAAATACTGCATTTTTATGAATAAACATTAGCTCATAAATACAGTATTTATTCATTTACTTTTGAATTAGGATTGCTTAGATTTTTACCTGTTTTTTTAAACTCTACTGTAAAAAGATTTCTTTGTTACAAGAAAACAGAATTGTAACAAGTTTTACATTTTTTGAAAAGCAATGGAGCAACAATTAATCTGTATATAGTCAAAAATTAGTGCAACTTCATTATTTAAAACCAATATTTTTATTTTTTGTTTTATTCCAGTTTCATAATTTGCCAGTCCTGTTCAATGATGATGTTGCCATATTTATTGTAAAAAGCTTTTAAGAAAGCTGAACTTGTCTGAAACATTTTTAAAAATCTTTTGTTATTTTCTTTTTTTGTAATAATGTAGCATGAAATTCTTGTAAATGGAGAGAGGTCAGATATTTTTTTTATCTACAGTAGATTCATTCTGTTAATTGATTGATTGACTATTTTTACAGCTTATCAGCCTTTCATGGGTTATTTAAAACAATAAAATATTTTTTTTAGATTGGAAGAATTTTTTTTTAGATATTAATGGTTTAGTGATATAAGTCTTATTAATTAACCCATAGCTGGGAGGAGAAGAGGTGGATTCATACCTTTCCCAAGTGTATTGCACATAAGTGAATATAACTAACACAACTGAAATCAGAACTCTGCCCTCCAATTAACAATTCCAAGTCATTATCCGTTACACGATTTGCACATTCAAGCTTACAGAACGTGGTATTCCTAAGTGGTCACCTATCTAGTTACTGACCAGGCTTGATGTTGCTTAACTTCGGTGAATGTATGGGAACCAATTTTTCAATGTGATGTGACCATAAGCATTCTGTTAATTAGATTTCATTTCAATAAATAGAATAGAATTATCTATAATAGACTGATGGAAAAATAATCTACTTAGATCATATAGTTTATACATTTTTAAAATCACTGGTTATGCATTTGGACCCATTTAATCAAGCACTCTTGTGGGCCAGGCAGCAGAAAATGCCAGCTGACTGAAATCACCTTTTAAAAAAAAAGAAGCCACCTTATGCAAACATATTTGTAGTATTTTTTACTGGGTTTTATTTTAACAATATACAATAAAGAAAATCTTAGTTCAGTTAAATTCTATGGGTAAAAGACTTGGATCATCAGCAAAGATTCACTGACTGTCCAAGTTTTTGTTGTTGCAAATAATTCATTGGAAGTTGCCAACATATATTTCTTTCTTATGGGTGGGGGGAAGTTATATATATATATTGCAGTGTTACCAAAAGTAGAACAATGGTAAAACCAGGAAACAAAACAATCATTAATTCTTCTAAATGAAGGTTTTTTTTTATTGTTTCATGCAATACAAAGCCTAAAAAATAAAAACTTAAAACTAAAAAGTAATATATACTTCTTATTCTGAATGCGTAAATATGCAGCTATATATAAGGAATGAGCAAGACCGTATCACCAAAATACTCTGTTGCTGTTATCTGCTGCGGAAAGTTGTAAACAACATGTGGTGTTGCTCTCAACAAGCTAAAGGCAAATGATTAAAAAAAATGCCAGACCACAGTTGGATTAAAGATGTACTGTATGTGTTTTGAAAAGTAATAAAAAAAAACAGTATTTTGGTTGACTTAATCAAACAAATGCTTAGGAGCACTGAACAAAAAAGTGGATAACATTAAAATTGTTAAGGGAGGAATTACATCTTTCTAAATGTAATTAGCTTCCTTACATTCCCTTTGTTAATATATTTTTAAACTAGCCTCATATTATAAGCCATCTTTTAATTTGAAAAGTCATGCATCCAATAAATCATAAAATATAATGAAAAATAGCATCTGAAATAAAATTTATTTCAACTATTTTTTTTTCCTTCAGTAAAAAAAATAAAATTCTATTAATCAATTTCGGAAAACATCTTTTTATTATATTATTAATAATACAATCACCCAACTGAATGGATATGAACTTAAAATTTAATTATAATTTATGGAGAAAGATAGAAATTATGCAGCATTTAAAATATGTATCAAAAAATGTTTCTCAAAAATACAGAGTGTGCAATGAGATGAGTTGGTCAGCTGATCCACATTCAAAGATGAGTGACAAAAAAGCTACTGTTGCTATTTGACCTGTTGTAGCTAGTAATAAAATCACAGGAAAAAAATCACTATTTTAGCTTGGAAAAAAAAAAACACAGGAAAAAGTCACAATTAATTTATCATGGCCCATAATAAAATCACAGGAAAAAGTCACAATTTTGGCTAGTAAGACAAGTAATCAAATAAAAATAGTCACTTTCTAAGTAAACATAAAAAGTAATAAGTACCATAAACAATTAAAATAATAAAACAGAAAATATTTTGAATGAGTTATTATCATGCAATTCATGATTTGTACATATTGACAACATTATTTATGTTTATAATGACTTAATATTGACAACATTATTTATGTTTATAATGACTTAACTTCATCTTTTCTGTTTGATGTTGCCCCAATTATACAAAGATCTAATGTTTTTGTTCATTTTTTATCATTTCACACCAAGCCAGGCAATAAAGCCACTGAGAGGCAAGGGGTAACAGAGTGTTAGAGAATATAAAAAAACTACTATTAATGAAACAGGACAATAAAAGAACAGAAATTAAAAAGACAGAAGATAGCAATTGACATTGCATTTAAATTCTTGAAGATCAAAGTTGACTGGAAAGCAAGAAGCCGGAAGAGAGTTCCACAAGTGAGAAATGCGATAGAAGAAACTGTTAGCATAGAACTTACGGTTACATCCAGCTATTTCAACTGTAAAATGATGAGATCTTGCTGCAAATCCTAGTACTGTGCTTAAATTCATAAAGTCTAGGTAACATAGTGGGAAGTTCATCAGAACAATTATGATGAAAGTATTTATTGAAAAGGCACAGGGAAGCTACGTTATGCGGGTGGGAAAGGGACTGAAGCCAATTTTATAATTTTTAAGGAAAAACTCGTTAATTTATCATCAATTCTGCATATTCCTTTATTGAAACTGACTGACATATTAACCTTTAAAACAGTGAGAATTCAAATAGTTAATCTTTCTATTAAAGAAAAATGTGTAAACAGTGCTAATGTTATTTTGTTCTTTTACCTTGATTCATCTGACCTGCAATTCACTCAGCTCGACCATTTTGCTCT